GCTGGTCAAAAAATCTGCACAAAGACCTCTCACTTCTACTCTCCATCTATTCCCGGCTCCCATCCCTAGCTGACTCAGTTAGGTAATAAGTACCTCTTCCCAACCTCATAGAAGATAGGAAGATTGTTTTCTAGAAAGTTTGACCAGAGAACCACTAGGTTCTGCATATTAGGCACAGATAAGATCAGGAATGAGGCATGAAAATAGATTTAACTACAAGTCTGACCCTGAACATCAAAATGCCCAGCCCCCTTCCCCTCTAACACTCAGAACTCCTATATCAAAGTTACACCCACCACTTTCCTGGCAGGAGTTAGAGAATTCTTTTTTGATGAGAGTAGCCCACGGGTACTAACTGCCCACTGGTACTGACATCTGGACTCTCTCCATTGAATTAACCAAAGCCCCACTACAGTACCCTATGGCAAGGTTTACTCATCTAGAAACACAGAGCTTCCAACCAGCTTTTTATTCTCATGAAAGAGAGAAGAGCATATCAATCAAACAAGGAAGTGATGGCATAAAAAGGAAGAGTCCAAGAATAAGAAAATGCTCTTGAAAATTAAGAGTATGGTAGTGTAAGTTTAAAAAAAAATAACAGAAAAATTGGGATTTAAAGTATGACCCCAAAAATAGAAGCTAAAGAAAAAGAATTAAACAGTAGGAGGAAAAAAATAAAATTTAGAAAATTATTTTTTTAAAGAAGCATTTACTGGCTCTACGAGAAAGAAATGTGTAAGAAAGTGAAGGACATGTAGTTGAAGAACACTGCTTGGCTCAGCTGTGAACGGTATACACATTATCATAGTAATGTAGATTCTGAATGTTGATTTTACCAAAGTTGCGTGGAAGAGTCCATACCATTGCAGACATTCAGTAGATAACGTCTAAAGTTGATAAATCAAGAGAAAGTGTGGAAGAATATTTTGGGCCACAGAGAGAGAAATACTCCAGGAGGATCATGCTGGCAAGTTGAAAGCTCTTACGGTGGTAAGAGGTATGAGCTATTGCTCTTTGATTATAAGCTTTATAATATTTGACATTTAAAATTTGTTTTGATATGAGAATAAATAATACATTTTAAAAAATAAGACACACTAGTTTTAAAATGTCACCCTGATGGAGCCACTTACTGTTCAAGTAGCCACATGCATCCAGTAGCCCATGGAGGGCATCGTAGAACAAATAATGTTCAGTTCGGTGGTCTTGAGTGATCAAGGAAAGGTTTGATTTTGTTCTGCATGTCTGCTTTAGGGAAACAGATGTGACAGGGATTCTTCTCCATCAAAATGCCATGTGCTTTAGTTATTTAGGGGAGAGAACTGATGGAGACTGTCTTCCCCTCCCAGTGTGGGAAAAATGGTGCTTGCCCCCCTTCCCCATCTCCCAGTCAGGCTAACTCTGTGTCCAGAAGAATCGAGGTCTTCTGGACTGGCCTCAGCCTGACTTGAACTGGTTCAGAGCACTGACCTTTATCAGAAGTCGTGGGTCCACCAGACTCCTTTCTGGCAGGCAGAGCTGATCTGCCAGCAGTTCCCTGCAAGCCCCTTTGGATGGTTGCACTGAGGTCGGTTTGTGAAAGTCACCAGCCTCAGAGCAAAATCTTCTGTGGCAGAAATTAACCTCTCCAGGGGCAGAGGCTACAGTGGTGAAGGAGGAACACAGACGAGAGCATTTCCCTCCCTTGTTCTAATACTGCAGAGACCCCAGGGATGCTTCACTTGACTGGTATTTTCCTGGTTTAGTGTCAGTAAGCAGAGATGGCCAAATAAAACTCACACTGTCCAGCTGCCATGAGAGGCATTTCAGAGTTTGTTAGTGGTTCATGCATTTTACCTGGTGATTTTTTTGTTATCAAGGTGTATGGGAGGATTACAGCAACACTTTCTAGGCTAGAATGAAGCTTTTTGTTTAAACCCTGACATAGCAAAGACTGTGTTTCCCAGGATTTGAGCATATCAACACAGTTAATAGTAAATTATAATATTTTGACGTGACAATAAAAAGGGATGGGTGGCTTTCTTATATTGCTTGCTATAAATCTTGAACAAAGCTGTTGGGAGATTTTTTCTGCAGTGGGATTTTTTGAATAATACTAAGGATAAGCAAGTAGCATTTGAAGAAACTGGGATTTGAAAAATAATGGTGAGCCAGTCACATATAGGTAGTTCCTTTGAAATATGGAGATGGAAGCTACTGGAAACAGAAGTCGCTGACTCACTGCCCAGATGGGTTGTGAAGATTGGTAATACAAAGAGAGGTCTTCTTCATTTCCCTCACTCCTCCTTCCTCCTTCCCCCTCTCCTCCTGCCTGTCATTACTCCCCCATCCCACCCCCACCCCTGTTTACCATAACTGCTGGAAGACTTACTGTGTGCCTGGCACTGGACCACATGTGCTTTAATAATTACATATAAAATTTAATAATTTCAATAATATGTGAATTTTAATAATTCAATAATATTTGCACCATTATACATATCAAGAAACTGAGGCTTAGAACTATTAATTTGCGTAATGTCACCCAACTAGCAGGTGGTAGAGCGGGGATGGTAAACTAGGCGGGCTGACTCCAGGGCTTCTGTTGCACACACGGCTCATAGTGAGTGCACAGTTCTGTCAGCTGTGAGTTTGCTGCTCATATCCGTGTTGATGGTAAAGAGCTCACAGATAAACCACAGAGCAGTTAAGTGATTCACTCAAGATCACACACTGGTCAGTGGCAGGAGAATATATCCCATTCTCTCACTCCATGTAGCTCTTCTCTCTGCAGCACCAGCTCGCTGAATATAAGAAGAATTAGTACATTAACTTCTAGAAACATATAACCTCCTGTCCGGGTTCCAGGTTCTGAATCCTCACATTACTTGAATTGATTTTAGGCTTTAAGTAGAACTGTTGAGTGCTGCCAAAAGCTATGCCAAAGAAACTGTTTTAGTTTAGGCTAATATTTGTTATGCAATGGACAGAAGACAGAAGCCTATGACAATATTGAATTTCTTCTTCTCTTACCTAATTGAAAAACAAAAGAAAGCAAAAAGTTTACCATCAGGAAGAATTTTAACTCTGAGCCATTGTGGGGGATTCCAGAGAATCAGCAGTTACCCTGATGAGACAGAAGTCACTGTCTCTCTAGCTGACGCTAGGACAGCAGGTCTTGCCCAAGGTGAACTGACTCTCCATGGCGTGGGCAGGTCACAGGTATAGGGTATGAGTTCTCCATTTTAGAAGTTCACCTTGGGCCAGAGCTGCTGTTGTAGTGTCGGGGAGAGAGACAGTGACTGTTTCATCAGGGCAACCCCTGATTCACTGGAGTCCCGCACAGTGGCTTGGGAGAGGGAGACCATGATTCTAGACCTTCAGTCTACAGGAAAAATGCCTTCGTGGTGGCTGCCTGTCACTGCTGGCCAGCTGCCCTCCCACGTGCAGATGCTAGGTTGAGCTCACGAATCCCCTCCTACGCCCTGCCAGCTTTGGAAGGAAAGAGACATTAGATACTCATCCCACAACCTTCCTACCTCCATGACCTCCCTTTTTCCTTTCATCTGGGTGAAACCTATCTATGTTCTTTTTAAGGCTCAGCTTAAGCATTAACAAACATCTCCTTTGCTTCCCACTCCTCAGTCTCAAGCAATAAATAATCTTATGCTTCAGGAAGGTCCCACACACACTTTGTTTGGGGCTCCTTAATCCACCCCCCACCCTCACACCATCGTTCTCTGCTGGTGTTGTGTGTCCATTTTATCCCTCCTATTAGATCCTAAGACTTTAAAAGTAAAGAGGAGTCTTGCTTATCTTCACTTTCTGCACCGCTTTTAGGATGATGGCTTTTCTGAGTTTGCGCCTTGATGCATTGTGGTATTAAAGAATTTTGGGGGCAGATAAATGCCATGTGGTATTTAGGTTTAGAAAGATGATAATGACTACCCCCACATTCCTTTTTTCTAATAACAACTATCTGGATACTGACATATTCTGGCAGCAATTCACCCTTTACTTTGTGGCTTTAGTTTACTCCAGGAAAGGGAGAACAGCGAAAGCCAGGAGTTGATGAACTATGGCCTATGGGCTAAATCCAGCATCTGTACCTATTCTCTTTTGGCCAATGGCATAAGAATGGTTTTTACTTTCTTAAATGATTAGGGGACAAAAGGAAGAATGTTTTATGATCCAGTAAAATTATGTTAAATTTAAAATTATTGAAATTCAATTATCACTGTCCCTGAATACAGTTTTACTGGAATACAGCCATCCCCATTTGTCTATATGCTGTCTATGGCTGTTTTGCACCAAAACAGCAATGAGCAGTTGAGTAGTTACCCACAGAGACTGTACATCCCACAAAAGCTAAAATATTTACTATTAGACCCTTGGCAGAAAAAGTGTGCCTGCCCCTACTCTGAGTCATTCTCAGAAATATCTAGCCCAGGGTGAAAATGGATGGACTGGGGTGCTCTTTTTGACAAAGGAAGAATTGAATGAAAGCACAGAGAGTTGCCCTGGATTCTCGCAGCAAGTGGATACGCCAGAGGAGCTGACCTCAGGTATTTTATACATGCTTTCTGCTCTTCATTAAGGACTCTCAAAATTTCTTTGAGAGAAATTATGAGCTAGGAAGGGTGAAATTAGGAGATTATCAATCATTCCTGATCGTTCTGTATACCAAAGGTAACAAACATCTGAGTAAGATCTAAAAGACTCTTTGTCACTGGGTTGTCTCTGATTCAACTATGTGTGTATGTTAAGGAAATCTATTTTGAATGTATGTTGGTCTCTGTGGATCTCTTTGGCGGAGATCCATTTTGGATGAATGCCAATTAATTATCATGTATATAGGGATGATTAAACATTTGGAGTTTTCAAATAAAGACATATCAGTTAGAACTTGGCGAAGACCAGTTCAGTGCCTTGGAGAGTTGTGGTTATAGGGTTTGTTGTTCTTGTTGTTGTTGTTTAGCAATCTGCCATTTTCATGTCTTTCTCTTATTTTGTCATTACAGGGTAATGCCCTGTACTTCAAATCAGCCAGAAATGTTACAGTGAACATTCTCAACGACCAGACTAAAGTGCTAACTCAGCTCATAACAGGTAAGAAAACAAAGGACTTGTCAGTACCTGGTCTACACTAAGCACTCAGATAACATAGAACTAAAGAGTGAATGAAATACCATGTGAACTAAACAAAGAAATGTGCACTAACATGCTTTATAGTATGGGGAAGGAGAAGGTAGCATGTGTTCTATGATTCTACTAAAGGGTAGAGTCTCACATTTAACTTAGGCAAATCCAACAATACTTGTTTAGAGGGGCAATAAACTATTTTTCATGTAACATGGCCCCTAAACATAAGCCAGCTGCTTCATCTGGTGCTCAACAACAGAAAAGCTCTCTGCTCCAATGCTGGAGGAAAAGCTGGCTGTGTTGGATTAATTGAGAGAAAGCACAATATACACAAAACCCTGCACCCAGACTTTATGGGGTGTAAAGGGGATTTTTAAAGGCAATTTGAATCCATGCCATGTTTGTGATATGTGCTGACTTTGAACCTGACTCAACTGCAAAATGCAGATATATCTCCACTGATGATGTTTGTGTGGTTTCTTTTAGTAGAGCAGATCTGTTCCTAACAGTCATGGAAAGCACTCACTGGATTTTAAGCTGCATCTTCCTAAAATTTAAACAAGGGAAAAAAATAAAAATAAAAAAATAAAAAAAAAACAAGGGTTGGTTATTCACATAATGATTATAATGATCAGCATGGGCCTTATGATCATGGTAATGTGTTGTGTGGTATGACCAATGCCCCAGTGTAGGTTATGAGCTGCAGTGAACAGAGCCATTATGTACCCCGACAATGGAAGGGAAAAAGAGGTATGTGTCTGAATGGCATTGTTACACTTCCAAAGAGAGAATGTCATTTGTTTGGCTTCGGGGCTAAGAGAGAAGTAGACAGATGGACATCGTGAGAAGCCAGTTGCCCAAATACCCTGTAACATTACTGTGCCTAAAACATCTGGAGCCCCTGCTAATAAACACGCTACAAGGAAACAGGTGCCCTGTGCCCAGAGCCTTGCTGGGGAAAGCGTCTCTGTCCCCTGCCGGAACACTGCATCTGATGGCTAGAGACTCATGGCCAGTGGGTAACTTGGACCATCGACCTGGGTTGGATGGAACTGCCGCATGGCGAAGTCCATAATCCATAAACATGTTGTTCCGGTGTGTGACTGGATTGTCGGCCTTGCTTACAGAACATCTGGCCTGCAGTCACAATGCTAAATAATTAAATAAACAGCTTCAGTAAGCAGTGATTTAAGCAGCATGTGTGAAAATTGCCTCCAGGAGGGAAATAAATCCAACCTCTCGTTCCCTGATTCTTCTGTTCAGAAAGGAACTTATTTAGCCTGTTGATCATTTGCCATTTATTTGCCATGGGAGATTTGGTTTACTTGACAAATTTAGTTTTGATAAAGCTGGAAGTCCCCAAGTGACTACTCTTCAGTTGGCATCTCTCCCCTTCCCCCCTCCAAGCCAACCTCCTCCTCTCCCTTCTCTCCCCAAATTCCTTACCCCTTCCTCTCATCTCCCCTACCCTACTTCCATCCTTCCTTCCTCTCCCCACACCCTCTCCCTTCTCTCTGCTCTGGTCTTTCCTCCTCCTCCTCCCTCCCCCATCTCTCCTCTCTCTCTCTGTCTCTCTTTCTCTCTCTTTTTTCTCTTCCATTCTCTCCTCTTTTCTTCCTTCCTTGTCTTCTGTCTTCCTGTCTCCTCTGTCCAAGTTAGGCCCTCCTGGCAGCTGATACACTTAGCCTGAGCTCTCACAGTGAGGTCCAAGATAGCTCATATTAAAATGAAATGGACCAAAAGCTACTCTAACACCAGCTGGGAGGAGCCTTTCAAGATTCTCTAGAAAGGATAATACATGGTTCAAAATATAATTCTAAGTACATATACGCATGCATGCTCACCCAGTAAAGTTTTCCTTTAGGCTCTCCTTTTGCATTTATGCACGTGACAGAAAGCACAGATAAGTTCCAGGAGACAGGATCTGCTAAAGCTTGCTATGGTTGGTGGGGTACCTACCTGAGAGCAAATGACCGCTCTCCATCCAAGTAGCCAGGTTTAGGAAGGCAATCCTGAAGATCAGGATTTCTGACCTCAAGAATGTCTCAAAATCCCAGAAGAAATTCCAGTGTTAGTAATTCAGGGAAATTTTCCTCATGGAACAGTGCTTTCAATGATAGGCAAATTGTCAGGTTAGGCCACAAAAGCTCATCTGGCCCACCTTGCTGCTGATTTAGTGTCCTCTCCGTAGTGAACCATATGGGAAGCCCTCTGGCCTGCAAAGAGGGGGTTGTAAGCAAACCTTCCATAGCATCTCACCAGAGTGGGGAAAGGTCTCAGGCTCAAGGGAGCTGGGAAGAAGAATTAGGCAGGATGACCCCTGCTTCATGACATGGGCATGGGTGGGGGGGCTGCTGGTGTTTCCTGATGGATTCCAGTTCTCCCTGTGTAGGAGATGCATTAAGGAAGTACTCAAAATATACCACCATGCACTGAGGGAGATTAACTGGAGAGTAGTTACAGATTACAAATAATGATTTTTTTCCATCCCAGAGAGGAACGGTGGGTTCACCGAGGGAACTCCTAAGTAGTCTCCAGCCCCATTTGCATTTCCCTCCAGAATCTTTAAAAAAAAAAAAAAAAAAAAAAAAAAAAAAGATTTCAGCCATGTCTCGGCCATTTGGCAGCCCCAGGTAAAATCAACAAAAGGACAAGCCATCTGCACCATTGAGCCAGTAGTTCTGTGAGATTTTGGCTAAAATCCCCAACTACAGAGCTTTATATGTGCAAATGGCTCTGGCTGTTCGTAGATATATTCCTTTTTGTGTTCTAAGAAGCCCTGAAAAGCAAGATAACTTAATTGTGTCTTGAACTCTATGATTGCTTCAGTGTCTTTAGGACATTCTCTTGCATGTCTCACAAACCAGTAGTAAATTTAGAGCAGACTTGCTTTATTATGTAGGCAGATGTCCTTGATTCCTCAAGGGCCTTATCTCATGATACTACCCATCTCCCTGGGGCAAAGCCCAAGCAAGAATTTTTGTACCTCAGTCACACCCCCATTATGCCATTAACTAGATCCAGAGTGGCAAACTATACTTAACCCCATACCTGTCCTGAGGTTATTCATTCATTTATTAACACTCCTTTACCTCCTGATCTCCACTCTCCCCCTTAGAAAAGGGGTAACAATCCCGAAGTATTAACAGATTTAATTTAAAATTTTGGTATGACCAAGAAGACAGCCACATCTCACCCCTCCCAGAATCATCTAATCCAAAGCCCTCACTTCCCATCTCCTTTCTTTGAGAATTGCTCTCTGGTCCTTATCTCCAGCTTTCCATTATGCCACCACCAATCTCCCCAAAAGCTCCCCTCCTAGCTGCTCCTTATGTGTTGACTCTAACCCTCTTCTGTCTCTAGACAAACACACATCCCTGTTCTTCTATGGAACAATTCTTTAGTTCCAGACCCAGATCTGCCATTAACTGACCTTGTGACCTTGAGAGAGCCCTTAGCTCTGCTCCCACTTGTTCTTCTCACCTACAGCATGAAGACAGTCATGGCTAAGTCCCATGCCATTTGGAAAGTCTCTGCTATGTCTGTTACAATTTCCCACTCATTCAGGAGCCTTTCCAATGCCCTTCGTTTTGTCAGAGGACTAGTGTGGGTGTATTAGCAGGAGATCAGGTGTATTAGCTGCCAAATTGGCATGATTAAGTGAATGAGGCGAGTGCATTGAGAGGTGATTGTCATTAATTATTTTCAGTGTGTTAGGACCATTGCATTAGAAAAATGGTGATGGGTTATGATGACAGTGATGATAATCATGAGAGCAGTCCCCAACATTTCACACCACTTTTCCACCTACAAAGTTCTTTTTATAAACATCATATAATTTGATCCTTTTAACCTTCCTATAAGGTAATAGGATAGATGGTGATAGTACAATTTTACAGATGCAGAAAATGAGGTTCAGAAATATCAAAGGATTTTCCCAAAGTCACATTACCAAAAAATGAGGAAGTTGGCACATAGTTCTTATCTTCTGATTTTTGGTCTGGTAGACTTGCTAATGAGGAAAGTAGCCCTAGATGTCCAGGCCTGATACCAAAAGCCTAGCCTCTGTGTTGTTCTGTTTGAACATAAATAATTTTGCAGAACATCACCACCAGACAAGGCTACTTGGTCATCATGAAGGATCAAGACAAATCAAAAAACAAAGACAAGTCTAATCATGTCTGAAAATAAACAAAAATGGAGACATTTATCCAAACCATCAAAATGACTGAACATTCCTCAGTCCTGGTTAATATCAGTGACTGCTGTTTCTTTATCCCTTACAGTTTTAGCATTGCTCTGGTCTTCTCTGCCTCCAGATAAAATTTATTAACTCACCAATTGTAAAATTACACCTACTTTCTAACGGCACCTAATGCAGAGCAAAGCCTTGCTTCCTTAAACCTAGCCCCAAAATAACATAATACCAAATACTGTAATAAGTTCTTTCTTACTGATATGCCCTGTGTGGTTGCCAATCACAGCAATGAATAATAAGCCCAATTTGTTCACCTGTATGTGTGTTCGTTGGTCTTTGCCTGGAAGGCATTGAGGGCCCTTTCATTACTGCTTTTTATAGTTTAGTGACACTGTTTTGAAAAATAACTACTAACAAAAATGCTCTATCAGAATCCCCTGAGCAGTTTTGGAAAAATATAAAAATATAAGATTTCTAGACTCTAACCTCAATTTTTTTTCTTTATGAACTTCCAGACCAAAAGATAAGTTCTTTTTGATCTGAATGAGGTTTAGGGAGGATGATTACACCCCCAGGTTATTCTGATGCATTTCTGCCAAGCAGCTTTTGAGAGCCATCTGAACTTGAGGTATTCAGGTAGCTCTAGCTCAGATAAACTGAAATGTCTCCTGTTGTTTGTTTGTTTGTTTGTTTTAAATTCTAACACATTAACTTGTTTTATTTTTTTCCATCATACCTAAAACTCTGCAGTTTTCTGATTCATTAATAAATGTTTAAACTTGTATCTGTCCCCATCAGAAGATGCCATCACTATAGCCCCCCTTCAAGAAAAGCATCTGTTGTCTTATGATAAACATTCTAAAATTTATTGCATGAAATTCTAGCATAAAAGATTCAACAACTTTCTAACAATTAGTTGCAATATATTATAGCCTTTTTTCCCAGGAAATGATCTATATACTGAGGATGTAGACTTGTCGGGTGTCACATGCAGCTACTGGGTTAAGGGTACAGAGTGAGACAGACTTCAACTGAATTTAAAAACACCCTTTCCAACAGTTAGAGCTGGCCAGAGTTAGCCTGATTACTTCAAGAGGTGGTGAGCTTTCTGTGCCTTGATACATTCAAGCCAAAATCTACAAGAATTTGACAGTAATTTAGTGGTTAGTGAAGGGAAACCTCATTCAAGCATTAGTCTGAAGAAAGGACATGATGGTCTTTAAAATTATAGCCTGAGAGCATATGATTAAAAGTAATTGACAGGACATGGCCAGAGTCACAAGACTGATTTTTCATGGTTGGCTTCTGAAAACCAATCCACGTACATTAAAGTCCAATACAATCTTGTCAGATGTATATGTTCTATGAAAAGCTCTTTGTAATTGAATGCAATGGGACTAATGTGCATGTGTGTCTCTATCTCTTCCTTCTAGGTCCAAAAGCCGTAGAAGCGTATGGCAAAAAGTTTGAAGTAAAGACAGTTTCTGGAAAATTGCTTTTCTCTGCAGATAACAATGAGGTGGTGGTGGGAGCTGAGAGATTAAGAGTTTTAGGTAAGGAAACTTTAATCATTTAATTGATTTGATGCCAATGTATACATTTTAGAGGAAAAGTGAAATGGTGCTTAGAAGAGATTTAGGCCAATTACTGAGATTCTCTTAAATTAAGGTAGATGAACTCCTCCTACCCCCTACCTCAGAACCTGGTCCAACCATGAAAATATCTCAAATCATGAGTTTTTGTAGCATAACTGCCAACACTTTGCTTTGGATGGGGATGCATGTTGATGCCAACAAGTATAATGGAGCATATCCTATCCTCACAGACTGGCAGTCTTGGTAGAAGCAGTCAAGACATATACATGATTCAGAGATTTCTAAACCTGGTTGGAAATTAAGAATCACCTAGGGAACTTCTGAAAAGTCTAGATTCACAGATCCAACCATGTCTCACTGAATTAGAAGCTCTGGTGAAAGGACCCAAGAATATATCCGTGAAACCATTTGCAGGAACATCTATGGTGCCACCAATGGACTCCTGAGATTTGAGCATACAACAAAGTAGTGTTCTGTGGCTGTCTACTGATATGGTCTAGTATGGTGATTTAGGAATCCTGGTGCTGGAGCTACTCTGTCACTTATCCCTGCTCTCTGTCACCAATTAGTTGTGTGGCTTTGGGCAGGGTACTGATGTCACTGAGCTGGTTTTCTTTTCTCAGTTGAGCTAAGAACATCTACCATCTCAAGTGGTCCCTCGGGTTAAATGAGCTCATGTTACATCAACCAGGTATTTTGAATTTGGCATGTTTCACTTTAGAGCACTATACTTTGCTACCTCCTCAAATTTGTCCCATTTTCAGATAAGTAAACTAGGGCTTGAAAAGGTAAAGAAACTTGTCTAAGATCAAGCACCAGTGGTAGGATGGTTCAAATCCTTACCCATGGGCCCCAACCTCAATACACCTAAATGCACATAAATATGTTCTAAGACCTTGGCCAACCTTTACAATTAATATTTTTCTCTATTATTTGTAGAAATGGCACTTTCCATATTTGTTCTAGGTTTTGGGGGGCTGTGGGGGAAACAAACACGAAAACTTCAGGCTCTCCTTTTGTTCAAGAGTATTTTTCTATACCAGCTGTAGAATAATTTCCCAGGGGGGAAAATGATGATATCTTATGCTAAGATCATTTTGTACAAACGTGGTTTGGCACTTCCCATTAGTTCTTTGGCACTTTGTGAGTCACCTTGCTTCTTTAAAATCTGAATCTTTGGAAAGATTCAGGATAATTTTAGATGTCCAAATACTTCAGCTTAATCTTTGTGTAAAACCCCTAGGATGGTATCACTTAAGAACCCCCCCCCCCAACCTTCCCCACCCTACTGTTCAATCGACTAAGGACTGGAAGACTATTGTAGTTTTGGGTCACTTGAAAAGAGGTAGATATTTTTGTTATTGTTGTTGTTGTCATTGTGTATGCTTGTGCTATTTTACTTAGAGAACGATTTAGGATAAAATTTGTCTCTTTCCATCATTAGGAACATTTGCTTTTTTATGTTAAAATGTAGAAAGGAAGCACCATAATAAATACCACTGCTGCTATCAATACTAAAAAGATTAGGAAATGACCACCCCACATATCTCGCATCAACCTACTCAGTGAAATGAGCCTGGTGTGTTGCAGAAATGAGCTTCCTGTCAGCTGGGATTCAGCCATATGGTGTGGAACGAGAAGTTTAGGCAATTTCATTTTCAGCTTAATGAGAAGTTTGTCTTTTTGAGTCATCAGACTGAGCAAGCTCTTGGGATGTTTGAATCTGGATGCATATTTCATGGTGGATTCTAACATAGCTAGATTTGAATCCTTGCTCAAATAGTTAGGATCTGAGTGACCCTACTCAAGTCTATTTTGCTCTCTAAGCTTTAGTTTCCAAGTATATGAAACAAAGAGAATGGAACAAAATGAAGAATGGGAGAATGAATAAATATAATAAGAAACATAATGTAAATAAATTAGTTATTTCTGTCGATAGTTGAGTAAGAATAGCAGTAGAAAATATTAAGGAGTAAGCCTAAGAGAATAATACCTCCGGAATATAGTAACTTAATTCAGTTGTTTACATTCTTCTCTGCATAACTACATCCACCTATTCAGTTTTCAGGTCATTGACTTCCTTGTGCACATTCAAAGGACCCTGAATAGTATGACCAAGGGTCTAGAAGCCCTACTTCATTAAGAATAGTTCAACTATCTGGAAGTTTTTATCCAGGAAGATATATGGGGGGGATCAAGGTAGGTAGACCATAGTTGCTGATCTATCATCTATGCACATCTTTCCTGAGGGAAAGAGAGCAGACAAGAGCCACGTACATGAGTAGCTGAGAGCACAGGTTTTAGAGTTGACACTGGCTAAGAATCTTGGTTTCTGTCATTCATCAGCCAGGGCCTTAGTATGTCACTTCACCTTCTAGGCACCCTTCTGCTCTGTGACATGTATGATAATGCTTGGTGGTCACAGTAGTTGGAAGGACTGGATGGCACAGTGTATGTAGAGTGAATAGCGCAGTGGGTGGCATACAATAAGCACTTGGTACATGCTAACCATCATGTTGGTGATAGTTTCTCTTGGTCCACTTGGCCTTCAGGGGACCCATGACATTCTAAAATTTTATGCAATCCTGTATGTTCATGTAAGAATGTACTTAGAAATTGGCAGAGACCTTGTAGAAGTATGCATGTATCAGTTAAGTTTAGACTAGTGAATTTCTGGGACATAGGAAGGGCCAGCAGAGAAAGAGTCTTTTATTGCTAAAAAGTACTGCACTGTCCATGTCACCCAAGGGCACACAAGGCTAGTCTTGCTTACCTGTGTGTTCTCAAGTTGACTTACATGATGGAGGGGTTGAAGGCCTTGGGTTGAATTCCCCATTATAGGATCCCTTCTTCAAGTCACTAAGATACTGGTTCTGAAAATGTGAGTCCCTGAATGGTGAGTTTCAGCTATAGTCTACTTATTAGTCTTGCAAACCCTCAAGCCTCACCCAAACCTACTGAACCAGAAACTCATGAGTGGGGCCCAGCAAGCTGTCTTTGAATAAGCCTTCTGGGTGAATATAATGCACATGAAAGTTTGAGAACCACTGACCTAAGACACTCCCAATTTTGCCTCAGTTTTGCTGGTAACTTTCAGTGAGTTCAGGCTCAGCTTTTACCATGTTGCTCCAGAAATGACACAGATGAATATAGCCAACATATGTGGAGGGTTTACTCTGGGTAAAATGCTCAACTAATCACTATGAATAACCACATTGGTTGAGAGGGCCCTGGCTTATCATCTTGATGTACAGAGGAACAAACTGAGGCACAGAGGGATGTGAAATTGCCCAAAGCTGCACAGAGAGAAACTGATGCAGTTGGGCTCTGAATCTCGGCAGTCTTCACACTATATGCGTGACTTCTATTACATTAGATTTGATTGAGCTTCCTAACACACGACCACCACAAGAAGAGGGAAAGAGAACTGGTCAACTGCTTTCCAGCCATCCCTCCCTTTCTGGTTTCTAGATACTCTCCTGCCCCATAGTCCTCCCAGGTCTCTGACTTTTCCTCTTCTGCCCTCACTAACCCATCTTTCATCTGACAAGTAACATGGACTCACACTTGGCATCAGGTGTAGACTCCCTCCAGGCTCAGCCCTCATTTTCCTCTTTTCACATTTCTGTGGGAAATTCCACACTTATATATGACTTCAACATTTGCTTCCTTTCAAATGACCCCAAATCACAGTTTGCTTTGAACTGCCTTCTCAATTCTAATTCCAAATTCCCAGCAAATAGCCTGTACTTTTCTGCATAGACATCACTCCCTCCCTTCTCTGCAACTGAACTTTGGAGTCCTCTAGCAAACTCCCTGCCTCTCCAGAGCCCACTTCCCTAACTCTGCTGATAAGGGCTGTCATTCTCTTAGTCTCCTAGTGCCCTGGTTCTCTAGTCTCTTTGCTTTCATGCAGGTACCAGGCCCTGTCTCTCTTTATGTGGTCCTGATATCTTTGCCATCCTTGGGATTTCCATTCTTCAAAGTTATCTCTTTGGGTCAGACATAAGAGAATTCAGATTTGTAGTCAGGCCCATCTGTTTAATTACCAAAAAGGTGTAAGTTACTGTGCAAGATAAGGCATGATATTGTTCAGCTTTAATTATAGAACAAAGTTATTAAATATTGGGCAGAAATAGTCTTTAAAAATCACCAAGAAAATAGGCAACATAACAGTCAGTGCATCGAAGAGGCATCTTTATGGAGACATCAGGGAAAAATCACTTTGATTTTCATTAATGACCAATTTCATTGAACAATGAATTGGACATTCTAGCACTTATAAACAAAGCATAATTATAAAATGTTATTCTGATTGTTAATTAGGTCTATTTATACTCTAGATTAGTTTTTTAAATATGTCCTTTAGATGCTACTTGATGCTAATTATTTGAGTTACAGTATTATCGATTGCAAAACATTTTTAATTAATTCTAAAGCAATTGAAATTAGCAGAAGATTTATAGAAATTTAAATGTGGTCTGATGCTAATTTTTTTAGGAAGACATCAGATGATACATTTAGCCTTCTGTTTTAGTTTTTGGTGAAACTTTCTATTGCAACCTGGCAATTGATAATTATGATGAAAGGAGTGGGGTGTTTTTAGTGGTGGTCATTCATTTAATAGATACGTGTGTGTGTGTATATATGACATATACATATACACATATATACATTTATAGACCTGAATCTCTAAGTCCCCACAGCTGGAGTCCTGGAGATACACAGATGTGAGTCCCTATCCCTGCTCTCTTAGGGAGTTCTTTGTCCCTTCAAGGAGTTGAAACACACATGCAAAAAACAAGCTGCTTAGAAGGATAGAAACAAAGAGATTGGAATTACAGAAGCCAACTGTGATGGGGTGGTATGCTAGAGAGAGTTTAGATAGCTGCTTAATTGAGAAGCTTTGAACCAGACCTTGAGTACATGTTGGTGCATCAGAGCCATAGGGGGAGTAT